AATATTAAATAATAGTCTTAAAATAATTTTAGAACAATTTTAAAATTTTTGCACTAAAAATTTATTGTAAAATAATTAAAAAATTTAATAATATCGTTAAGATGATCTTAACTCCATTGAAAAAAAAATAGCTAGTTTCTGTAAAGTAGTTTAGGCCGATTTTGTTAACGCTAGTAAACAAATGACGTCATTGCGTGATTTCACGTGGCGTGATAATCATTGGGTTCCTTGTTTTGAGTTTCCTTTAAGAGCTCGATTCCTCAGACTTATTATCTGTATTAGTTTTTCAATCCAATAATTTCTACATAGTCATACTTTATTAAATAATTTAACATGAATATTTCAAGCCTTTTTTTTGTTATATATTTTATGCCTATCTTTCTAGTTTCTTGTCAATTTATTCCTACATCTCGATATCGTCAAATGAGTACTTTAATTAACAATTCTAAATGGTATATCTTTGGTGGCAACTTTGGAAACAAAATAGGTACTAATGAAGTATTATATCTTGAATTATCAAGCTCATTTGACATTAGTTCGCCTCCTTGGCGTAAAGATCAAGCAGTATGCCCTTTTGAGCATGAGTTCAGTACTTCATGCGTTTCTGTCGATAATTCTTCTATTTTTATAATTGGTGCAGGTATGTATGACCTCGAAGGTCAACAATTAGATCCTAACACTAATTCTATGGTATATAGATATTTCTTAAGCAATTCAAGTTGGACAACACCGGACATTACGGGAATAGATAATTCCAAAGAATGTCGTAAATTACAGTCTATTAATGATAATACTGGAAGAATTTTTTTATATGGTGGTGAACGTAATATTTCTAATAATTCTAATGACCTTGAAGAAATGTGTGATAAAATGAGCATTTTTTACACAAATAATATGTCATGGTTGTCAATTGATCTTACCACTTCAAGAGCGGGATATACTGCTACCTTACTTAAAGGTGGGAATATCACTTACATTGGTGGTCGTTCAGTGTCCAACAACTACAGCGATAGTAGCTATGTTAGCATGTATGAGGTATGATTATATATATTCATATATTTTTTAAAATTTATTAGTAAAAGCTTATATTTAAATAAATTAAACAAAGTATAGATTTTGATATTCGATACCAACTCCTTAAGTTGGTATAATAATATTGTAAGTAATAATAATAATAATAAATTTATAAAGAATAAATTATAATACTTATAACCATATCAATAATTTAGACAGTTACTGGTGACAGTATTGAAAGCCTCGTATTTCATTCAGCTGTTTTAAGTAAGTATTTGATCTTTAAATAACTATAGTGTTAGTTAAGAAATTTATAAACAAAAAAAAATTTGATTTTTATTCTAGCTCGAGATTCAAAAATTATAATATATGGTGGCTCAAAAACGAATTTGTCCAAAGCAGTAAACCCAGATCTTGCAATGCTAGATATTAATGTTTACCCATTTAAATGGACAATTCTTAATAACTCTACTGTTGGTGCATCATCACCAGCACTTACAGGTCATTCTGCAATATTGTATGATGATTTTATAATTATTACATTAGGTAATTATAATTCACATGATCTTTATTTTATATTATTTTTTATATTATTTATTTTTTACAAATTATCTTCTTCGGATCATCTTTTTATAGGTAAATTTACTGGTACACCCGGTACATCTGGTACATCTTACGGTAAAACGAACTTAAATAACAAGACTTATATTTTTGATACATTAAAATTTGAATGGGTCAATACATTAGATAGAAGCACTCCACTTACTAAACTACAAATCTTTGCAATCACAATTGGTGTAATTGGTGCAGTTGCGCTTTTAATTATAGTAGTTATAATTTGGCGAAAGCGTAAAGAAGGCATAAAAAATGAACACCTTTCGTCTTTCTAACCTTTACTAGTAATTTTTACTAATAATGTAGTTTTTGAATATTATACTTAAACTAGAACATGAACTTTCAGGCGGCTTCGCCGCTGTTTTAATAGAGGCAAATCTGTATTTTCATAATTCTATAATAATTCGAATAAAATTATAAAGCGTTACTTGGTAGTAAAGATTCACAACTTGAATAATCTATTCAAATACCTCAATTTATAAATATTTATTTTACTTATATATAATTACATAATAAAATGAATTCAAATATCATGATACCTAATGCTCTATCTAAATTCACGAATTTGACGAATTAGAATCTTCGCAAATTAATTTAGATGAAATGATTACTTAATTGAGTAAAATAATTATATTTTGGTGTGGACTCTAGATTTTTAATATATAATAAATCATGAATCGAATTCGATCAGCTCACCGACAATCATTATAGTTACCGGCAATTAATAGTTTATTTTATTACAGACAAATTCTTTGATAGACAGTATATTTCACCAACAGCTCATTTCATAAGTTTTTTTTTTTTTAATAAATTGCACTAACTTTAAGGACATAAGCTTACCTTTTATTCTAACAATAATGACCAGAATTAATTTATATGTGAAGTGAGCTGTTGTAAAAATATACTATCCAAGAAATAAACTTGTCTTTGAATTAATAATCGGTAAAACATCGTGAACTAAGTTGGCTATGAAGTGATTATTGGTGAAATAATACAGACCCACAATGAATAATGAACGATAAATATCAGTGAATAAATCAAATATCTATAAGATATTTGAGCCGCTTCCGCGGCCCAAACCATCTTACAGATACTTGACTTATCCATTGATTTATATTACCATACCGGCATTTTTTACCTAATTAAGATAATTTATATCAACCAGTTTCGTCTATTATGAAAAGTAATGAAACTGATGAAAGTTGACAAAACGGACAAACTGACAAAAGCTAGAAAAACTAATGCACTCAAAAATATGTCCAGGTTTACACGATAATAAAACTACAACAATCAGGGCTATTACTATAAAATTTATCTCATAAGTTACGTAAATTGTTTATTTGTGTAAGATAAAATGAGGTTTATTCAAAAAATAAATATCAATTATTATAATATAAAACACATGTTTGCTTAGGTTTGGACACATTTTATGGTTACGAAAATTAAATCGAAATTGAAGATCTTTCTAAAGAACTTAGACAATCTTATCCATTTTAGAGGGTCCCGTTAAAGCCAGGTTTGTTTACATAGGGTGCCCTTATGGGGTTCCCTTATGTCAAAGAAAATCCCGAGCTGTTCTGATTCCGAAGCCCAAATATTCACCAATCAGAATCAATTAAATTGAAAATCCTTTTGAAAATTTTGAATTTTTTTAAACTTCTAGC